TTACAACACGTTTGCTAGGAAAAAGTTTCCACACTCTTATAAACGGTGGTTTGTTCTCCTCCTCACTCCTCAACCAACGTACGTAATTGGGCCCATTTATTATATTTTTGTTTGTGAGAACCTGATATGGGAGCCCATATAAAGCCTCAACAAAATAATAAAAAGCCCATGAAAACCCAATGGCCCAGTTCACTCAAGTTTGGGTTTTTTCTTGTCTAAAGCCCAGCCGAAGACAGAAACATAATCCCCCCAAAAGAATAAAAAAAAGGCAATTTTTACACACCGACAAACTTTTTTTTTTTTTTTAATTTTATAATTCAATTTCAACCTTATTGGTGATTGATCTTCTTTAAGCTACAAATTTTTTATTCGTAATATTATATTTTTATAATGATATGATATTATTATTTTAATAATAATAAAAGAGACAAAAAAAAAAAAAAAAAATCCAATTTTCAAAGGCAAACAAATGGAATCCAATGATAATATTACAAATAAAAAGAAAGAAAAAAGAACATTGGATGGAAAGAGCATTTGTTTGTGGGGGAAAAATGGATTGTGGATTCAAGCTGTCTCAAGTAAACGCGTGGGTCCCTCAAATCCTATAATTTCATATTTATATATTATATAAAAAAAAAAAACCCATTAAATGAAAAATTCTTACTTCCTTCTCAACAAAGTAAAGCACTTCATTAAAAAAATAAAAAGAAAAAAAGAACAATAATTTAATGTGTATTAAAATAAAGAACAATAAGTTTTTGGGTTCCAAAACTCACTCATGTCTCTCACTTAACCTTAAAGCAATACCAATTCACTCTTAGGTTTCAAGTCACAACCTTAATATATTATATTACAACCTTAATATATTCTATTTACTTTTTAAACCCCCTTTTATATTTTCCTAATAATATTAATTATGTAACACGTCTTTTCATACCATATTACATATACATTTTTTTTTTAATTTTATATTTATTACATGTGCCGCCAACTTACTCTTTTTCTTCACTCCCTTAATTATTTTATAACTATTATTAAATATTACCCTTTGCGATAAGCTTTTGCCTAATTTTACAGCTCTACGTATCATCAATTCTCCTAAATTATTATCTCTACATTAACTAATTTTAATCTCTTAATTACATGAACTACATTTAATTAATTAATTACATTTTATGTGAATCTTTTGGACCACCTCTATCTTATTATATTTGGATAATTCCAAATTTTAGTTACCTAATTAATTCTTATACCTTTCCATTGTCATTCATGCCTTCTAAAATAGTAATTTCCATGATGTTTTTTAAATTGTAAAAAGAAAGTTGGTATTTTTTTAATTGCATGACGAAAATAAAGTAGTTTTGCTTTTGCTCGTATTGTGGATGTGATTATGTTAGGTGACGATGGAAGTTGACCTTCGGTACTACATATCTTGTTCTTTTTTTTTTTTTCGAATTTTTGTATATAATTGTAGCTCAATTATGGTTACTAAACAATAATTTGCCCTAACCTCTCTACCACGAATAGCATTCGTAGCTTAGAAAATTTTTCCTGAACGTCAATCAAATTCGCTCAATTCACGACTTTATAAAAAAATTATTTAATAAGAAGTAGTTTTTATGTCAATTTATCACATATATGTTCATTGACTTAATTAACAATTCCAACTCTTTATAAAAGACTTGAGGTTTAAATAATTAATCGTTCACAACCACTCAAAGTAGACCCTGTTCATTTAACGTAAGCTAGGTTGGATTTTTGCAGCAAGTTTTATAATCAAGCGTCACTCACCAACTAACTATAAAAAAACATATATTACTTAATTAAAGAAGAAAGTTTAGGTGTAACGGTATGAGCTCACAGCTAACCTATATTGTCATTTTTTAACTTTATCTTCAAAGTTTTTAAATCGTACCGGCTAAAAAGAGAGACTTTCACATGAATGTTTGGTCGAGTAACAGTGAATAAAGGGTTAGAGGGGATGAATAATGGAGACGTTAGTTAGTTGGTTAGACATGTTTTTATGTGACTGTTATGTTAAGTTAGTTGAAAGGAGTGGCAAGATGAGCTGGTGACAAGAATAGAATAGACAACACCAAGTGGGGGATATATCTTTATATTATATTATATTATATGAATTGAGAGTTTAATTTTTGTTAATGAGTTAATGAATGAAATTAAGTTAATTAATCCTCCATTATTGGGTTTTGGTGGTTGGATTGTTTTGTTGCTTCATTTGGGTACTATAGTGTTGGTGCTATCTTTTCAATTGCTTTTTTCATTGGATGGTGATATGCATCTAAACACACCCTTAATCCTTGCTTAACAATAATTAGAGGTTAAACGGTGCGTTTAGAAGCGTTGGTGAGGGGATGCCGACGCTGTCAACTTCCATTAATAAAACGGCAAAGCAAGACCATCTGGGGTTTCACAAAACGGCACACGTGTCAAATCTCTTACCCATTTTGTTCCATGTAAATTAGAGAGAGAAAAATGTGGTCCCCACACCCAATAAGAAATAAATGGTGGGGACCACCACCTTTTGTTCACTATTTTTCACTCCACGATTCCGATTGCATTTGCAAATGCTACATAATTCTTCTTATATCAACTTATATAAAATAAAAATAAAAATAAAATCTCCTATGATACAAAATATATAGTTAAATGAACAACAGACATCGAGTTCTCGAGGTTGTTATAGGTCGAGTTGTCCATTCAAACTGACCATGTTCTATTTAGTTCTCATCATTCATAAATCACATTCACGACCTCCGACAACACATTTATTACTCTCTTTCACACACATATATTTATCATCGCATTTTATTTTACCTAAATACCTTATCATAGTCGCTGCCCCTAAGCTAATAATAAAAATAAAATATGAATTATGTGTTGAAGTGGAAGGTTTATAATTGAAAAATAGAGTTGAAGTGTGAGTAATAAATTGATAAATGGAAGGGAAATATAATAATAAATAGAGGTAGGTGGTAGGAAAGGAATAGTCATGTTGTGCAAACGAAGCAGATGTCTTGATTGTCGAGCCCCTTAAATCCACGCTGCGTCACCAAACAGTGGCTAAGGCGCCGCCGTATTCATCTGGAAAAACATGGGTGATGAACATATTATTAGAATAAAATTTTAAAATGAACATATTATTAGAATAAAATTTTAAAAATGTTTCATGAAATTCAATCTCGATTCAGCCCGCCAATAAATCGGATGTTTGAGCAAATTAAGTAAAATCAATCTGGGGTTCATAAAAACTGGGAAAACGACAGAGCTTTCATGTTCTTGGATTCCCTCGTCCCTGTTTCCAACACAATTTAATTTTACTGCGTCAAGTTGTCCCTGTTTCCAACACAATTTAATTTTACTGCGTCAAGTTTCAAGTTGAACTATATTCAAGTTGATGGTAAAAATTGAAATGACGTGACTTGGAAGAGAAGCATGCATATTAGAAAAGGAAAGAGGTTGAGTTGTGGGCTTGTGGGTATCAATTATATATATATATATATATATAGATATGGATTCCTTGCTTCAAACGCTGTCATTTCCATGCCCATTGGGGCCTCAAACAACACCAAAGAGCAACAGCGACGACGACCAAGAAGCAGAATCAGAAGAAGAAGAAGAAGAAGAAGAAGAAGCATGTGGGCGATAAGGTGGAGTGCAACGCAAGTTCTTCCAAACATTCAATTGCGTCTCTCACAAGTTCTTCCCTTTCCCCACTTTTCTTTATTTTTTTTCATGAGCTGTTTAGAACAATGTTATCTCCATTTCCCAAAGACTGAGTCCAACAGTTTGGCAAATAAAATCAAATTGATTTTTGTGGCAGCTATTAAAAGCTTCCCAATGTCTTAACAAAAATGACAATTAGTACAACCCAAGTAGCCAACACGTGAACCTCTAATTTTATAAATTATTTATTCACATCAAAATATAATTTTCAACAATAACAACGTAAAAAATAAAAGATTAACAGTGACTAAAACATGTTGGAATATCATTACAAATCAAATCAAATCATGTCAACTTTGAGTGTGCTTTATGTGTCTAATTCATTAATTAAACCATCAATTATTTCTAATATACTTAATTCGTTATTAATGTCACATAATTTCAACTCTCAACCATCATACAATCTTGACGGAAAAAAAAAGTTACTTAATTATAAAGAATTGCATTAAATATTTCAAAACATTATATGTAAAATTCAAGAAAATACATTTATTATTATTGTTTTATTAGTTTTAGTTAAACAAGAAATAATAAAAAAAAAAAAAAAACAGTAAATATGGACAAGGATTAAATTTAAAAAAATTTGTACAATTATCACCCCCTCCTCAAATTCCAAATCCAATTATGGAAAAAAAAAACATTAATTTTCCCACTAATCTCTTTCTTTATATAAATTAAGTTGCTTAATCAACCCTCATTAATCATTACAACTATGCAAAACGCAGGAGGGTATTAAATAATATTCTGGGTTAGATACATAATATACGATACACAGCTTTTAATCACAGCCGTACATCAGTTCAGAAGAGATCGAAGAGCACAAATTTCATGTTTTCCAGTGGGCCATCCGCACCAAGGGGAACAAATTACGGTTGGGGGTTGACTGGACGGCTGTGATGGTGGGGCTTAGGGTAAAAGCGGCGTAGGTGATTGTGGCCAAAAGAAATGAGCTGTAGAGGGAGAGAGAGAGTGACGGTGGTCCATAGTGGCAGCGTAATGTAAATACTAACAAACCGAACTTTCTAAACTATCGGATACAGCTCAGCTGTAGCTTCTTCAGCAAAACAGGCGCGGGGGGAGGGACTTTTCCGTCATTATTGGTTTGTTTCATGGGCAAATTCGTCTTAACGGAAGCCCTTTTTCTCTTGACTCTCATTATAATTAAAATTCGAATAAATTAATATTGATTTATTTCATATAAAAAGTAAATTTTAATTTCAAATTAAGTAGAGAAAAAAATTTAAAAAGGAGATGGTTTTGGAGCTTTTCCAACGTCCTGGCTTTTTTTAGTGGACGCACTGTGTCCGAATATTTTCATTTTCACCTCTCCCGCACTCACCCTCCACCTCCCGCTCCACCTCCGCCGTCGCCGTCGCCGTTTCCGCCGAGTCTCTTCCTCCGAAGCCGTGGCCACGATTAGCGAATCATCCCTTTGGATCTTCATTGCCGGAATTTCAACTGATTGGTTTTCTTACTCTCACAGTTTCACTGTTCCTTCTCTTACCCGAGTGTTTCTCTTTTCCATCTGATTGTTCTTCCTCCAGCCGGCATTCCTATCGGTTAGTCGATTTTGAGTTCCTTTGCGTTTGTCTCCTACTACTGCTTTCTTCTCGAGCTGTTGCTTGTGTTTGTTGCAGGTTTCGAATTCGGATGAGGGAGCGTCTGTTTGACTAATAAATTGTTCTGTTCTCGCAATCGCGAGTTTTTTCATTTCGTAGTTTTGAGTTTTTGTTTCTTTCCCTAATTTGATGTTGATTCTGAATTTTTGCTTCAATGGAAATATCTTCTTTTGTCGGTAATTGCTTCCACTTTTTCTTCTGATTAAATTTGTTTCAAGTGTTTAGGTATTTCAATTCTAACTGGAATTCTGATAACTGTCTTTTTCGTGGTGTGGTATCAGTGCATTTTTTCGCCGTATTTAAATTTTAATCTGTAACTATTTTGGACCATTTACTAATTAATTTGGATCTCGCTTTACCTAAGAACATCGCTGATTCTTTCTTGTGTGGGTAGATTATGTCTACTATTTTCTTTACTTTTTTTTTTATTAAAAGAATTCTACATTATCCCACAGCAGGCACCGATTGGCTTCTAGGGTCAATGATCTTCGTCTAGCAATAGTTCTCTGCTTAGATCTCGATGGTTCCTTTACTAAACAGATAGTGATGACATCGTTCACATGCATGTCTATCTGGCTCATTTTTTTTCATCGAACTTATTTCTGAATTTTTCCGTCGGGAGATGAGCGGTGGAATTGCTAACTGCCATCCTTTAAATTTCTTCCCCTTCTGGTGTTTCGGTGTAGCTACTTTTTATCCTGGTGCTGTTTGTGTCCAATAAATAGCATTTACACAGCGTTTGGATGTGGTCTGTTTTGTTGCAAAAAATGTGGGCTTAAAGAAATGGATTTCCATTTTTGGAACCTTATACTTTCATTACTCCATACGTGCAAGGAGCTGCGCAGTTACTTCCCTTAATCTGTGACCACTACCCTTACTTGACTTAGTTGATTTGGTTTTTTCATTTTCTGTAAACCATGAGGCTTTTCTTTCTTAAAAAATTTCTTTCACATCCCATGCGCCATGGATACGATGTGTCATGGGAAGTTTTAAGCACCACTTAAGATAAAATCAGGACTAAGTAATTCCTCAGGCAGTGACCACTAAATGATGATGCTATTAGAAGTTTGGGACTCTAATTTTTGTCTGAATCTTGGGTTAGATCTTAAAGTCTATTCTTTTCCCTTGCATAACTCATTAATTTAACATATGTTACTGCAATTTATGCAGCCTGAAATGGATCGACGAAGTTGGCCCTGGAAGAAGAAATCATCTGAGAAAACATCCGACAAGACGAATACTACGTCAGAGTCGGCAGGAAGCCAGGGTGATCAGGTAATTAGTGAAAACTTATCCACCCCAACAAATCTTAACTGTTCACTGAGGTTGCTCAGTAGTACTGTTCTTACAATATCTCTCTTCCTTCCCCTCAAGAATTTCTTCTCTTAGAAGTGAGCTGATGGTGGTGGGATTTGAATTTATAATCACATTTTATATTTTCTCTCTCTCTTACCGTATCTCCTTTCCTCATGCAGGATGGTTACAAAAAACCAAGTTATGTACAAATTTCTGTGGAGACTTATTCACAGCTTACCGGTTTGGAGGATCAAGTAAAAATTCGCGATGAACAAATCCAGACACTGGAGGGTGAGATCAAAGATCTGAATGAGAAACTATCAGCGGCACAGTCCGAGATGACTACTAAGGACAACCTAGTCAAACAGCATGCTAAAGTCGCTGAAGAAGCTGTCTCAGGTATTGTTCTATATTTTTGCGGTTATATTAGAGAGATAAATCTGAAATTCTAAAATTAAGGTGATTTGAATTTTTTTGCTTATTCTGGATGCTTTGTTGCAAAACAATGCCTTGACAACAGGTTGGGAGAAAGCTGAAGCAGAAGCTCTTGCATTAAAAAATCATCTAGAAACCGTGACACTGTCGAAGCTCACTGCTGAAGATCGAGCGTCACATTTGGATGGTGCTCTGAAGGAATGCATGAGGCAGATAAGAAGCCTGAAAGAAGAACATGAACTTAAATTGCAAGAAGTTATTTTCACCAAGACCAAGCAGTGGGACAAAATTAAACTTGAGTTTGAATCGAAGATGGCAGACTTAGACCAAGAACTTCTTAGGTCTGCTGCTGAGAATGCTGCACTTTCAAGGTCATTACAAGAACGTTCCAACATGCTGATTAAAATAAGTGAAGAGAAGTCACAAGCTGAGGCCGACATTGAGATGTTGAAGGGCAATATTGAATCATGCGAAAGAGAAATAAATTCACTTAAATATGAACTACACATAGTATCTAAGGAGTTAGAAATCCGCAATGAAGAGAAGAATATGAGCATGAGGTCTGCTGAAGCAGCTAACAAGCAACACATGGAGGTTGTTAAGAAAATAACTAAGATGGAAGCAGAATGTCAAAGATTACGTGGACTTGTGCGGAAGAAATTGCCTGGTCCTGCTGCACTGGCTCAAATGAAACTAGAGGTTGAAAGTTTAGGCCGGGAATATGGAGACACCCGAGTAAGGAAGTCGCCTAGTAGGCCTCCAACTCCACATATATTATCTGTGTCTGAATTTTCCCTTGATAATTCACAGAAATTCCAAAAGGAGAATGAGTTCCTTACAGAACGATTGTTAGCCATGGAGGAGGAAACTAAGATGCTGAAAGAGGCTTTGGCAAAGCGTAACAGTGAATTGCAGACTTCCAGAAGTTTGTGTGCCAAGACGGCTAGTAAACTTCAAAGTTTGGAGATGCAGCTTCAAAATGGTAATCACCAAAGGAGCTCCCCAAAATCTGTTGTTCAGTACACTGTTGAAGGATTTTCATGCCAAAGCACAACTCATCCTCCCAGCTTGACCTCTATGTCTGAAGATGGAAATGAGGATGGCCAGAGTTGTGCAGATTCTCTATCCATAGTGGCGACCTCTGACATTTCCCAATTTAGAGAGATGAGAAGTGAGAAATTAAGTAAAACTGAAAGTGGAAGTCACTTGGGGCTCATGGATGACTTTCTGGAAATGGAGAAATTGGCATGTCTATCGAATGAGTCAAATGGTGCCATCCTTGCTTCAGATGATTCAAACAATAAGGCCTCTGAAGTTGTACACCAGTATTCGAATGGTATCCAGTCGGAACATCAACTGGATTCAAGTCCATCTACAAATGTTGCATCTTCTACTGTTGATTTGTCATCAGATTGTGCTGATTCCGATGGACTGCCTTTGATGAAACTCCGATCAAGAATATCTTTGATTTTTGAGTCTATTTCAAAGGATGCAGATACTGGCAAAATTTTGGAGGATATTAAATGCATTGTGCAAGATGCTCATGATGCACTTCAGCAACCTACTGTCAGTTTGAGCTGTGCTTCTAAAGAAGTGCAATGCCCTGACCTGACATGCGATAGGCAAGCCAATCCTGATGATGCTGGTTTAGGAGTAGAAAGAGAAATTGCGTTATCCCAGTCTGCTACACCCAATCAGCCCATGAGGCAAGACCTGGAAGCTGCCATCTCTCAAGTTCATGAATTTGTGCTGCTCCTTGGGAAAGAAGCCTCGAGAGTTCATGATACAGTATCTCCAGATGGGCATGGTCTGGGTCCAAGGATTGAGGAATTCTCTGCCACCTTCAATAAATTTGTGTATGCGAACACAAGTTTGGTGGACTTTGTGATTGTTCTTTCTCATGTTCTCTCTGAAGCCAGTGAGCTTAGATTTAGTTTCATTGAATGCAAGGATACTGATGGGGATACTAATAGTCCTGATTGCATAGACAAGGTAGCTTTACCAGAGCACAAGGTTGTCCAAAACGATCCACTGGAAGAAAGATATACAAGCGGTTGTTCCCATATTTCTAGTCCAACTTCTGATCTTGAAGTTCCTTGTGATGGAAATCTAGTCTCCAGCTATGAATCAAATTCCAGATTACCCAAACTCTCAGCAGAGGACATTGAAGAGCTAAAATTAGCCAATGAGAACCTGTCAAAGGATTTAGCAAGATCTACAGAGGACCTTGAGGCAACAAAGCATAAACTGCAGGAAACTGAGCAGCTGCTAGCCGAATCTAGGTCACAGCTGGCATTGGCTCAGAAATCAAACAGCTTATCAGAAACACAGCTGAAATGTATGGTAGAGTCTTACAGGTCACTTGAAGCACGTTCAGAAGATTTGGAAACTGAGCTAAATCTTTTGCGAGCAAAATCTGAAGCATTGGATAATGAACTTCAAGATGAAAAGAGGAATCATCACGAAGCTTTGTCCAAGTGCAAGGAGCTTCAAGAACAACTACAGAGGTTAGTCTTGTACCTTCCTCTGTTGCATAACGACGCCTATGTATGGAAAACTTTAGGTGATGGACATCAATGTCTATCCTAAATTTTATCCAATATCCCCCGTTATTGCCTGATTTTATTAGATCTTTATATGTTTTCGTTTTAATGCATCACCAAATCAAATTTTATATCCTTTGTTTCTTGTGTTACAGGAATGAGGCTTGCGCTACTTGTTCTTCAGCAATTAATGATGATCCCCAGAAGAGCCAGGTGAAGTTGAAATACCTTTTCCTTTACTGAAATTGCTTTGCCCCATAAACGCTCTAGAATTACCATCACAATAATATATTCAGGAACGAATGAGCGTGAAAGAAAAGCACTAACTTATTCAAATCTACAAATATGGTTAAGGAATAGGTTGTTTTAATTGAGGAGTAATGAAATAATTTGTTGAGCCTTCTCTTATTGAACTTGGTATTGGTATTTCTTTTGTTACAATAGGAGATAGAGTTGACTGCGGCCGCAGAGAAGTTGGCAGAATGTCAAGAAACGATTTTTCTTCTTAGCAAGCAGCTGAAATCTCTGCGCCCCCAACCGGACTTTGGTGGATCTCCATTCAGCGAGAGAAGTCAAAGAGGCGAAGAGTTTAACGAGGATGAACCATCTAAAAGTGGCACCAATCTGGTGGACCTGGATCAGTCTGAATTGGATACCGCCGCTTCTGCAATGGCACCCATAGTCGATGCAGAATCCCCTTGCAGTGTTTCTGACAGTGAAGGAGGAAGCTTCTTGATGTCGCCTAGCAATTCAAAACATCCAAAGCACAGACCAACCAAGTCAAGCTCCTCTTCCTCCTCTTCCGCTCCAACTCCAGAGAAACATGCTCGAGGATTCAGTAGATTCTTCTCCTCGAAAGGAAAGAACAGTCATTAGGCATCCATGCTACTCTCTTGCATGATGATAATGCGATTCTGTTAAAATACTTCACTCAATAAGATAAATAGATAAAAAGAAAAAACCAAACAAACATAGACATCTAAGATTTTAGATGGGAATCAGTTTTGGGAGGTCTATGTCGTGAAAGTCAGCACAAAAAATGATGCTTACAAACGTATCTTTTAACATTTGTACATTATTATCATATTCACATCTGTTAATTTTTCTTCTTTTCTTTTCCTTTCTTGAAGGCTTGGCTTTCCCTTGACATTTGGACTGGACTTTGTGAACAATTGGTGTGGCTTTTATTTGATTTTTGGACCCCACATTTTGAATATGTACACATATTACAAGGGGTATGTAGTGGTGGGAGATTGCAGGGATAAGCAAGGCACATGAGCTATAGGAGCATAGGGCGTATTGATGAATTCAAATGAGGGGCTCCATGTGGGGTTATACAATCACATGGTCCTCACTTCAATTACTGATCCAACCAAATCAATGACAGCTAAAACTGTTGGTCCATAGTTGAAGTTGGACTGTGCTCAATAAAATAGTACACCGTATGATACAGTTCTTCAATCCCAATAATTGTTAACAACTCCCACCGACTAATTACAAGCTCCTTGCTTTGATCACTCCATCACTATCAGATAAATTCCAATCTTTTTTTTTTTTTTTATCAAGTTTTGCCCAATTAGATATGAACTGAAATGCATTATTTGAATACGTTTGTGTTTGGGATGAAGAGACAAAGCAGTAAATATGAAGCAAAGCTTGGTAATAAATAATGGGGTATTGAAATCTGGAAATTATAATGTTTCCTAAAGACTATGATTATTATTATTATTGATGCAGCCCAAGATCCGTCCACCATTTTCGTGGAGATTTATCCATTTTCAAGATTTTCATAACGTACCAAATTTACATTTTTCTCATTATTTTGTATGTCCCACTTCCACTACTTGGCGCACTCAAAGTAAAATTGTTGTACTTTTTTTGCATTTTTATTGCTTCATATCTTTACTTTATGTATATATTAAGACTGTTGGAAGAGTGGGACATAATGACCCATTTGTAGATATCAACTTATGATGTTGTACTATAACACTATTGTTTCGAAAACTCGTTAAAATATTATAATTTGATCAATAGTCGTAAACTCAACGTATTGTTTACTTTGTTCTTAAATTTAATGTTTAAAATAGTATATCTTTAATCAAAAGATGGAAGATTTGTATCTGTTTATCAAGACAACTGAAACTAATTTACCTTTAATATTACTCCACTCAAGAAATGTAATACGTAAATAGGAGTTAGGTCAATGATATAATTACAAAATTTTTGATAGAAGATTTTAGGGTAATAGGGAAATATATATACAAACATGGATACCCTACAACTCACCCAACTTCCCCACATTTTAGACTTTTCATATTCCTACCCCTACTTCTTCCACTTAAGGACCAAAACATTTGCTCGAATCTCCTTCACACAGTTGACACGACTCAATTCGACCCGACCGGTCCACATTAGTACAATGCATATACCAAAAGCAAATAAAAAGAACCGCAAACCCATCTCTTTCTCATCTCTCCCATTTCATATGAAAGCTGAAATTATGAATATACATATCCCCTTCTTTTCTTAAGTAATATGGTTTTGTTTTTACGTGTCTAAAATTTAATTTATAATGTGGAAAAAATAATTAAATTAGTAAATCCATAAAGTGACGTGGGATCTACTTGATTTGATGCAATCACGAGCGTTGGTCTGTGGTTCATGATAATCCCAATTGCTTTATTATCATTTTTTTTCAAAAAATAATAAATAAATAAAATTAGATGAAAATAATTAACATTTACCCATCACCTTGTATTGAAAAACTTATATAAAAAATAAAATATCCCTACAAAATTCAACTGACAAAAACAAAAAACGTGGGGGAAACATTGATTTTAAAAAAAAATTAAATTTGTACTGAGCTTTTAATGTTGGTCTTGTCTTTTCTTATTAATTTTATTTTCACTCTTCACGCGTAATCTCGTTTCAGTCTCATCGATAGTCGTTATCTACTCTCTCAACGTCGTTGGTCGGCATTTACCTAATTATAATTAGTATCTTTTAACATTAAATAATACACGCCATTAAAATTTTATACTAATTTCGGTAGAATCTTATTTCATATCTAATATATTAATTTAGTTATTTTTTTTGGCATGTGGTTATTTGAAGCCCCATACACTAATTTAATGAGAAGGGGACCATATATTCAAATTTCCAATTTTTTTCTTCTTCAAATCTTCGAATTACATTAAATATTATCACTTTTTTTATAATAATATTATTGCAAAGGTGTGAAAATGACATGTAACATATGGAATTTGTAAAATAAAATAAAATAATCATTGTCGGCATAAATGATAAATGTCCACTCGATGTTGATAGAATAATAATGTTAATATGAATTTATAATTAGCTCTTAACTTACTTTAAATCATTCCATTTATCTTCTTATTTAAAAATACAGTAAAATTGAATTATGTGGTATTGTTTCTAATTTGAATTTATAATAATGAATGGTTGTTTTTATGTTTTCAAAAGTCAACTACTTTCGTAATGATTGATAATAGGCATTCACTGTTTGAAAGTCAATCAACATAGTTAGCTTAATATAGAAATATTTTGAGGATATTATATAAGTTATTGATTAATCAAAACTTTTGCAAAAAATTAATGGGTTATAACGTTGAATTAGTTATTCAGTCATAAAGATGTGATGTCTCACGTTAGTTGGAGAGGAGAGCAAACCACCATTTATAAAAGGGTGTGAAAACCTTCCCTTAGCAGACGCGTTTTAGAGCCTTGAGTGGAAGCTTGAAAAGTTTAAATAAGACAACATCGATTAGTGGAGTGGATATGGGACGTTACAAGATAATATTCAGTATTTTGACCGGTAATAAAGAAAAATAAAATTAAAAATAAATGAAAAAAAAGGGGCAGCTTTTGTTGAAGTAATTTCCATATTTATTATTTAATTGGTGAAGTCTGATGTGTCCTACGCAGTACGCCCTCCCTTGGCTACGGCTACGGCTACCACTTTGACACGCGCCTCCACATCTTAATTCCTAACCGTCCGATCATTAAATCGTTATAAAGTTTTTTACTTTTTCAAGAAATGTGTACTCTGATTGTGGTCCCCACCCACATGGGCTTCCAGAAAGTCGGAGGTTTTTTTTTTTTTTCCTAAACATGTCCCTCTCATATTTCCCCAACTTTCAAATTATTTATAAATTTCCAATAAATTAATCACCCATAAATTACCACAAAAAAATACATACATTTTTTCATTTCTAATCGGGTTGCCTCCTCTCCTTTCAAATACTTTATATAATATTTAAGAAAAAGATTTGGACTTTAATAATCATTATTATTACTTTAATTAAAAGTTTTCTTTTTTATTTTTAATTATATTATATATATATATAGAGAGAGAGAGAGAGAGAGTTAGGGAAAGGAGAAAACGTTGGCCCGTGACAGAACATTCCATGTCGTTCAGTTTTAACGGCAAAAAACGGTTGAGTTAATCGAGATTTGGGAAAACGTCGGCGACATGGAAAATTTAAACACAAGCCCAACGGACAAAACCCTTAAAATCAGCGACTAACCAAAAGGGGACAAAAAACCAGCCCAGATCGCTACTCACTGTGATTGACTCAAATTTCCATTTCCCCAAACTAATTTTACTTACATTTTCAGTCATACGGAATCGTGGGTTCTTCTTCCCTTTCAATTTCTCCATCAACTATGAAATAAAATGAAGAAAAATGGAGAAGAACATAACAATATTATATGGCAGAGAAGCAGAGAAGCAGCTTCATCATTTTGGCCGGCCTAAAAAGGAGAAAAGAAAAAGAAAAAAAAAGGAGAAATATAATAAGAGTTCATCGAAGGGTGGAAGTTAGGGACTGAAAGAAGTGCTCATCGCAGGGAATGGTGAGGCCCATGTCATGATCGAACCCAAATTCATCAGCTGCTTGCTGGAGCAAGATTTGGAACTGTGGGTGATTCAAATATGTGATGGGGACAATGTGTCTGCTTCGATTTTCTCCTACGTACACCACGAAATGGCCCTTGGGGACGTCCAAAGGGAGGCCCTGTTCGTCGTACTGCTGCTGCTTCTTCCCCAAGCTAGAGCAGCGCTTCAGCATCTGCTTCAGCACTGCGGTCTGTGGCATTTTGGTGGACTTTCTGATGGCCATTTTGGTTGGGGAGATACAAAAAACAACAAAGAAGAGAGGAAAGTGGAGGTGGGAAAGAAGATGGGATGTTTTGGGGTATTTATGGAGGGAGAGAAACAGAGGAAACAGAGAAAGAAAGGGTTAATGGTTATAATGGTTAGTGATTTAGTGTGGGGTAAATGACAGAGCACGGGTGTTTTGGGAGAAGTGAATCTCATGTTTGCACCCCAAACGGCCCACCCTAACCCCCCTTTCATTTTCCTACTCTTTCTTCCTCTCCCTTTCCACAACTTACCTCCCTCCCGCTCCAAATTTTGACTAAACCCGATCACTTGGCAAGGGACGTGTACGAGATCATTTTTTTAATACCCTCTACTACTACAAAAAAAAAAAAAAAAAAAA